TCCAGGATAACAATAAAAGATTCTGAAAAACAAAGAGAGAAAAGAGATAAATATAAAGCAACCCCATAAAAAGGAAAAGAAAGGCATGGTACCAAACGCCAAAAATAGCAACATAGCATTGTAACTTAGATCAGATGGAAATATCCTCTTTTCAAGGAGATCAAAGCTATAGTTTTAAAGAAAAATGAATTTATTCCTTTTCCTAGAATATGATATACTGGATTTGATATCTGAAAACCACTCTTGAACTAAATAGTGCATTTGTATATCCACAACTTCATTCTTAGATACATCATATGTTCTCATCGTAAGCATTCATGTGTTCTTAGTTGTAATAAAGCCCTCCCAGTTCGCAGTCAATTGATCCCTTTTTACCTAAAGAGAACAACCTAATATAAAATATTCAAATATGACTGTCTGGTCTCATTCAGCTAAACCAATTAAACAACATAAACCCAATGTCACACAATGCAGTATCCAGAGACCATAAAGATTAAAGATGCAGCTATCTAAGTAGCACCGGGACGGAAAAGGAAACGCGGACGGAAATGGGGACGCGGAAATTCTAAACTCAAAATATCAAGATACTGGTACGGCAAAGGAAACTTGGAACTAAAAATTAAAATTTTACTAGTATAAGTAATGTTACGGTGTACTATCAATCCCTACGGAAGAACCTGACCCACTGCCAGCATCACTAGAAGACCCACTAACTTCAATGCTTCCCATATTTCAAGATTAAAAAGATGAATCACTTATTGTGACAGCAATTTAATACTCTGGCAGCAATTAATTTAAAGCTCACCGCCTCACAAATAAGCGGCAAGGGATATCCTGTTCTTCAAACCTTCAATGCAACACCAGAGCCTTTGTGTCTTTCACAAGGGTTCGTCGCTGGCAGCTTCAACTCTTCAATCGTTCAAGTCCGATGCAGGCTGTCTGACTTTGTTCTTCCAGTCGACTGGGGACAGGGGAGTCGCAACTCTTCAAGCCTTCGTTTTCGAGTGCGGGACTGGGGAGTCGTGCAGAAGGATTGCAGAAGGATTGCGGACGACGTTCGTTTGCGGATAGAGTGGGCACAGCAGGAATGGTATTCTTCAGATTCAGAAAGAAACGCATATAATGAATTAAAAAAACGTATCAGAAACGTTTCCCAACCCGGCCCAAAAGCCCACTAACCTAGAAACGTTTCCTGGCCTTTCCCGACGTTTCCCCAGCGTTTCCCTTCGTTTCCCGTTTCCGAAACGTTTCCGGGACGGAAACTTGAAGGAGATAGGCGTTTCCGTGCTTCCTAGGCAGCTATTAATAGAACATGTGTAGCCATTTGTCATACAAAGCATGTAACAACTAACAATCCAGTATATATGGGCATTACAGTAAAACTCTAGAAAAAAATCATCATTTATGTCAATTTGAATCTAACTAAGATGCACAAACCGTTCAGATATATACCGGATTTTGGTCAATATTTTGGTCATTTTAAAATCATTAAAACGGATTTAACCCTGATGTAATAAATTTTGGAAACATTGTTTAACTGACGGATTAAGTAATTCATGAAGCATTGACCAAAAGAATTGAGGCAGTGCTCCAACGAACAAGATTGGTCGGAGTACCGAGGTTCAGATGCGAAGGAAGATACAATTATAAGAAAGGCCGAGTTCAGCGGACGGTCAAACCTGTATGTGAATCTTCACGTCGATTATGCCGTGCTATATGCGTTGAGCTTCAGATCTATTGGTGCAAGGAACCAAAGAATGGAGAACCCGGTCACTTTCGACCGTGACCCCGGTCCATGCTTGTATGTGACCAAAAAAGTATAGTAGATTTAAGTATTTGGTCTTTACAAAGATTGTCACATATCAAGTTAGTAATGTCTGGTAAAATATGTGCTTTTGTGTAATAGAAAAAGTAAAAAATATTTTCCAACCAAAAGCCGAGAAGCGCTTTTTAAGTAAAAGTTATCACTTGAAAACATTAATTTTAACTTTTATAAGCCAAAAGGCGAGAAACGCTTTTTTAAACGTTTGCAAACAGACCCTAAGTACCACTACAGTCTACAGGATTTCTACAAAAGAACACAACCACCGCCCTCCACATACATTGTGAGTATGTTTTTCGTGAATAGAGAAATATAACTAGTAGAGGCGTAACCACAACATTGGACGGGACTAGGCAAAATATACGGTACACCCGGGTGTACCTATACACCCGATATTTTTGTAATTCTTTACAAGTTTCAGCCTAGTTATTACATATCTATTTGAACTCCATGCAGTAGCCTCCTCTCGCTCGATGCTCCCTGCACACCAGAACATTGGTTGGACTTCTCCCTTCCATCTTTTCCCCTTCATTTGAATAACTATAAAATTCTTCTCAAAATTGACCCAATTTAAATGCTGGAAACATTAGGGAAAACTGTCAATTACACCCTCGTACTATGAGCGAACCCTCAATTGAGCCCTCCTACTTTGATAACCTTCAATTGAATCCGCCAAGTCTCCAAAATCAATCAATTAGGTCTACATTACCGGTTGGTTCCCGGTTTGCCCGTTGCTTGCCTTCCTGGCGCTGACGTGGACTTTGCCTATCAGTCTTTCGGTGCTGACTCACTTAAATCATTTTACTTCCACTATCCACCCCCAATCAACACCAAACCGTGCCCTAATTGACGACCTTAATTCGAAGCTCTGCGACATAGCACTCCTCGACATAGTCATCCACTTCTCACCGTCGACCTCGTGACCAACAATGGCCTCCTCGTCTACAGCAACGAGTACAAAAGAGCGAAGAAGCACTACAAATTACGAGCCTGCAGTGTACTGTTGGTGTGGATTGAAAGCGCCTCTGTGCGTGGGAAGGGAGAGCGGAAGACAATTCTATTGGTGTCAAAATTGGCCGGTAAAACGTCGAGAGAATTTACATTTTTTCATTTGCTGTGGTTATGTAGGTTGTGCAGGTTATGTAGGTTGTTCGTATTGGTAGTGCATATATAATACTGTAGGTTATGCAGGTTATGTTTTGAACAAATCTTGTATTGGTAGTGATTTTGAATTTGAAGAACCTGTTCGTGTGATAATATGTGTGTTCGTATTGTCAACAGGGAGAAGGGTGTGGCTACTTCTTGTGGAAGGATGACATAGGAAGAGAAGACATGATCAGGCCTGACCAAAAGAGAGATAAGTTTGATGAAGTAAAGACCATGGTTGAAGGTGCTGTCCAACGCTTAAGCTATGTTCAAGCAGATGTAACCACTATAAAAACCGTTCTTGAGAATGAGGTTAAGGCCAGAAAGAGGTGCAGGAAGCTCGTTGTCATAGGGTTGGCTGTATTTCTGTGCTTTGCAACAAATATGTATTCAAGCTATCATAGTTGAATTGTCTTGGATGTAATGGTATCTATGTTTGAAAAAGTTCACCACCAGTTTATTGTCATAGAAAGTGGAATGTAGTGTCATATGGTATCTATGTTTGAACAAGTTTTCCACACATTTTCATCTTAGGTACTTTTGTATTGTCAAGAATCTAGATTCCTGGAATGTATTCATTGTGTATGTTGTGTGGCATTTCATATACCTGTATACACTTAGAATATGTGTACTATTAAAACTTCAAAATATACACTTAAAACCACAAAGATAAGATCATCTATTATTTCATATACAACTGACATTCAAGTATGGACAATAAGGTGTAGTACACCCATGAAATTCAAGAGCAACTGACATATATTACTGCCAATACTTCAAAAGCAATATTTCTTCAGCAATAATGCATAGTACCCGTTGAACTACAATAATGCAATAAATGACCCCATCAATGGTCATCACAAAAAAGGTAGTTTGAACCTCGGCCATACATCCATACACCAAAAGCAATCCCAATATAGTACATTATCATTACATCCACCTAATGACAAAAAACTACTTCCATAAATGTTCATTAAAGCAACCCCTCCTCTTGTTCTCCAATCACTGTCACTCCAGGCTGGCCAGGCTGCATATAACATACAAAGCAAAATGAGAAAACATCATTGCCACAAATTGAAATGACTTAAACATACAAGTCAGGTCTGAACTTACTTCCAGAATGGTTTCACCAGTAGCTTCATCGACATACACACCAAACCCTGATTGCCTTCTGCTTGTATTGCCCCTCTTCCCTCTTTCTCCTCTTGGGCGTCTGCCTCTTGCACTTGGAGTCACTGTACATGCAGTAGTAGAACATAATTTCTTGTTGTGGCCTTCTCCTCCGCACAATGAGCAAGTCATGATGCGCCCTTTTCTTGAAAGTTGTGAAGAACTGGGTGGACGTGCTTCACTTTGTTCCCTTACACGCTTCTTTTTGGGTCTGCCACTCATCTTCTTTGGCAAAGGAGGTAAGATCTCTTCATGCTGGGTTCTAGGCCATAACAGCTCCCCATTGATAGGATGCAATGTGTAGGAGTAAGTTTTATGGTACATCTCCTTACTGTAACAGTGGTCAACGTATGCTTCTGCCTCCTCCCCCTTGTCATAGATGGCACAAATGGCATGGGCACAAGGGATACCACTGAGATCCCACCTTCTACAAGAACATGATCTCTTCTTAAGACTGACTTTGAATTGCCCTCTTCCTTTCTTGATTTCATATCCATCATCACCATTGAAATCCACATTCCATCCTTGACTTGCTAGAATATTAGTATTTAGCTTCTTCATTATTATTGGACCAAATGAACCTGCATAAGATTTGGAAAACAAAAATGCTTAATAAGATTTGATAATCAAATACAATAATCAATAGTACATATTATTGTGTAACCAGACCTGGCCATTTCAGAACATATTTTCTCTTCTTAGCTATCCTTTTCATTGTTGCAACACGAATGTCCTCAAGCATTGGGATCAAAGGCTTGGATCTTGCTTTTAGAAGTGTGCTATTGAAGGCCTCAGACAGGTTGTTCTCAACTGTGTCACACTTCACTGCATCCCTAAAGAAAGCTTTACACCATAACTTGAATGGGTGTTTGCGTAAGTCAATACCTGCTTGAGCATCAGCCTTATCTAGCTCAGCTAAATTAGCTTCCAACTGAGGTTCACATGTTGACTTCGCACACTGCCAAAACAACTTCTTCAGATTCATCCCTCGATGTGCTTTGCTCCAATTACCATGAATATGGCGTGCACAGTTCCTGTGCTCAGAGTTAGGGAAGACTCTGGTAATTGCATTAGCCAGGCCCTACAAAAAAAAATATTAACCAAGTCATATCATATACATTAATGGACAACATGTAAGCAGTTATGAAGATACTTAACCTTCTGTTGATCACTGATGAAGGTCCACTCATCTGGGGCAGTAACATCCAAGTCATTATGCAGCAACTCCAAGAACCAAGTCCAAGATGAGGTATTTTCTATCTCAACCACAGCCCATGCGATTGGATACATTTGGTTATTTGTATCTCTACCTACAGCACTCAATATCTCTCCCTTCATTTGTCCTTTTAAAAAACATCCATCTACACCAATGATCTTCCTACACCCTTCTATAAAACCTTTCTTCACTGGTCCAAAGCAGACATAAATGCGTTGGAATACACTTGGTTGTTCTGGGACAACTCTCACAGTTTTGATGACAACTGTACTATTAGGTATTGACTGAAGGCATTCCTCTGCATAGTTCCTGATCTTTTTGAATTGGTCTTTGAAAGCAGTTTGGTTTTTCTCTTCAATAGCTTTCAAAGCTCTGCTGGCCATGCTTTCAGACACATTGAGTTTATACTCAGCCTTGATAAGATTTTTCAATTCCACTGCACCCATTGATGGATTCTCAACCACTTTCTCCTCATATATGTCAGCTACCCATTTGGTGCACACTATTCTCAGCCTATACCTCAGATTGCAGCTATGTCCTTCTTTGAAAACTTTGACCTGAAAACACTTCAATCTCTCCACCCATGAAGCTGTTAAAGAAAAAGGGCAAGTTTTCCCACATTTCACTCTCACTCTCTCAGGCTCATTTTTGTTGAAATACAAATCTCTTTTTTCAAACACAGCATATTTAATGACTGCCTTCTTAAATTGCTTTCCATCTTCAAACAACATGCCAACATCAAAACTTGGGGGCTCTGATTCAGGATTAAATTAAGCATACCTATTGTCTGACCTTTTACACCTCCCAGAATCTTCCTCATCCTCATCCTCAGACATGTAGCTGCGGGGATTAGATGAATCATACTATGTATTGTTCTCCTCATTCTCACTATCATTACACGTGTTTGCCCCCTGTTGTGTAGGTATGTGTTCAGAGCCCAGTATATCTTCATTGACCTCATCCTCATCTCTCTCTTGATGGTCAGTTGATGCAGCTTTTTTCTGTCTCAGATTCTTCTTCCATCCATGACTCATCTGCCTCAGAGTCTTCTGACATCCATGATTCATGTGTCTGACCTTCATCTGCCTTCCATGATTCATCTGAACTGACATTGGACTCCTCATCTTCAACAACAACATCTTCATGAATATGGGCACCTGTTTGTTGATGTTCACTTGCTCCAGGCTCATCTTCAGGAACATGGTCTTTGTTTGTACCATCAATTGGGGGCTCCACTCTAGTCACATCAACTTCAGGTTGAGATGCCTCAGGTGCAGGCAGAAGTTCAACCAATTCCACCTCATCTAAGCCATGTTCCACAAATATGTCACACTGTCCACAACTAGTAGCCTGTTGTATGAGATGAAGGGTTGACTTATCATCAGACAAGTGTCTTAAAGATTTCATACTCTGCCTTGGTTTTTTGTAATACAGAGCCTTAATGTTACCATAACTACCCGTTTTTAGGCACTTCATTAAATGAGGATAGCAAATCAAATCTGGGTCAATTGGTAAGACATCAACTGCACCACCTACGTATATTATCTCAGGAATATACTTAAAATTTCCTCCATGGTGAATGATTAGTTCAACCTTGTCAAACATGCTGTACATATGAAAATATTGAAATCAGATTTGGGAATGTGTAAATTTTTATTAGATAAAGAACAATGACCCAAACGAACGTTTCTAAAGTGCAAATGACTATCGCTTCACGTAATAATATCATCACAATAGCAACATTCATGCGACAAATACGAACACAAATCACCAACCTCATGTAAATACGGTGGACTTACAACTATAAACTAACCTGGCGTTTGTCTTCTTCACGTGGACGGTGAGAAGTGGATGACCAGCGTCGAGGAGTGCTATGTTGCTTATCTTCTCGCAGAGTTTCGAATTAAGGTCGTCAATGAAGGTTAGGGCACGGTGTGGATAGTGGAAGTAAAATGATTTAAGTGAGTCAGCACTGAAAGACCGATAGGCAAAGTCCACGTCAGCGCCAGGAAGGCAAGCAACGGGCAAACCGGGAACCAACCGGTAATGTAGACCTAATTGATTGATTTTGGAGACTTGGCGGATTCAATTGAAGGTTATCAAAGTAGAAGAGTTCAATTGCGGGTTCGCCCATAGTACAAGGGTGTAATTGACAGTTTTCCCAAAACATTAAAGGTAATGATAATCTGATTGAAACATCTTCATCACTCTATTTAACTAGTTATCATCTAATAGTTTCATTTAAATTATATTCTAAATAGTAATGCCCACCAACTGCTCGTAAAAATTCCGAAGTGAATTTTTGTTCATTTCTTGAGCAAATTTTAAATAAATTTTGTTGTAGTTGAAAATAGTATTGACTATGTATAATTTATTTTGCATAATAGTTCTTTTTAGCATTGATTTAAATACCTTTTATGCTACTTGAATTAAGGAATTCTTGATTTTATTTGTTATTTTCTAAGTTTTATCTTTAAAAAATTTGGTATTAGATTTTGTGTTTTGTATTTTTATATATTGGATTCAACTATTAATGATTCTTAGGTGGTATTTTGAGCGATTAATGTTATCTATCATTACATTTGAAATGAGCATTCACCAATTCTACGATGTGCATTGTGTTAAAAACTGTTTAGCTTTATTGTTAAAAAAAGATTTATTCTAAGTTATTTGTAATGACTATGTTACATGTGTGAGATATAGAAATGACTTTATGTTATACATATATGAGCATCACATTCAAAAAAATGAGCATTAGTATAACATTATAAAATGATTACAAAAAACGAGTTTTATGCTACACCTAAATGAGTATAATATTTACACGAAATGTACATCGATATAACATTTTAAGATAAGCACTAATATGAAAGACTTTTCAATGAAGATGTTTTGATGCTCAATAGGTTTTGAAATTTTTATGCTCAATTGCAGAGTTTCAATGTGCATTAGAGGAAATTTGATGCTCAATGAAAATGTTTTGATATTCAATGAAATGTCCCCATATTCCAAAAGTTTAATATTAAATTAGAATCCTAAATTGAAAGGCATAGGAGTCTATTATAGATATAATTTAAAAAATTTATATAAAAGAAAAAATAAGAAAAATAAAGTGAATCAGAAATTATGAAGTAGAATTCACGAATCACGATGCTCAATAATGCTCAACAGAATAAGTCTGATGCGCATTAATATTGTATTAATACTCATTTAACAGAAACCATGAATTTCATCTCAATAGAGGAGGTTTGATGCTCAACGAAAATGTCGTTAGGCTAAATTAAAAAAAACTTACGATTTTCATATCAATGATCATTTTGTAAGTTACATATGCTCATTTGGTACTGATGGAGTATATGGCCCGGGAACCCCCGGCCCACAGACTCCTACTACTCCAGCGAAGGCCCAACAGACCCAGAAGGCCCAACAGGCCCAGATCACAGCGCCCAGAGTACCAAGCAGCCCGCACTACGCGCCAGGGGTGCCTTCGGCCCCCTGGCCGAAGGCTCTAAACTCTCACAGGACGGGCTTCGCAAGCAAATTAAGAAACTGGGAGAAAACGGCGAAAACAGTAGCCCTCGGCATTGTGAGCCCTCGCCACCAGGATGCCATCGGGTGGAAGAGCCCTCGGCTACTCCTCTATAGCCGAAGGCATCTCATTCGACAGGATATCCGCCTCACATGCGTACAGATCACCGTACCCCGCATAGACGTCCCATCCAACAACCGCATTAAATGCGGCCACATGCGGCTGCCAGCACCAACCAGTTGAGGTGACCCCTCGGCCAATGAGCGCTTGACACGTGTCCCTGCCTGGCATTTATCGCTACTATAAATAGCACCCCATTTCCTCATTTGTAACCACGCTGAAAACGGCATTCATACTGAATACACTCTCTCTCTACTTTTACGTACTTGCTCCGACTTCTCTCTAAGTTATTCCCCGTAATAACCCTTCGGATATATACCCCCGGGTAGACTATCCATCATTTGGTGCTCTCGTTGAGAGGTCGAACAATCGAGTAAGAAACCCTCCCCCTCGACCAAACACAGAACACTAGCCCTCTATCAAAATGGTGAGGACAACACGTGCCAGCTCAAAGAACGTAGAAGACAAGAACCTGGCCCTCGGCGACGTCAACGCCCCCGAAGCCTCTCACAGGGCTCCCGAGGGCGGTGTCATCGCTGGGCTGGAACAGGCAGCTGTCGACCTACGCCTTCAGATCCAACAAAATGCCCCCGATGCCCGCCTCGGCATCGAGGCCAAGAAGAAAAACCGGAGCGATGACCAAGTCAGCCCTCCGGTTCTCACCATCGACGTGCAATCGGCGCTCTCCGCCTTCATCCAGACGCTCACTCAGAACCCGGGTACCTTCGGCACCCTGGCTCCAGCTCACCCTCAGGTTGGGGAAAACATCATACTTCCCCCTCTGCCACACCCCTTCGGAAATCCCACCCCTCGGGTGAGAAACGACGAAGGGGTGGTGGCCCAAGATACGTCCTCCCAGGAAGTTCAGTCCCGGGACCGCCATAATGACAACAGGGAAAGGCCCCGTACTTCCTCCCTCAACCGGCTCGGAGGAGGGCCAGACCGCCGAGGGGTCCAAGACCGCCTCGGGGGGAAAGCACTCCAAAGGCCCCAGGAAAGCGGGGGATCTGTTTCGAGGGCAGACGAGGAGCGTCCCCCTCGGGACAAAGGCAAGGCACCCCTTCATGCCGATGATGCTCGGCACCAAATCAACCAGGCCCACTCGGCCCGGGTTCGTTCGCAGGGGGCGGAGACCCTCCCGAAGGATCCCCGGGACGAGATCATTGCGGCCCTCCAACGCCGGCTTGACGAGATGGAGTCCAACAAAGCTCACGCCACCACCTCCACCCCTCATTCAGATCTCAAATACGAGGCCATGATGGCCAAAATGGAGGAGTTACAGAAGAGGGTGGCCGAGGGCTCCGGGGAACCCGTCATCCAGCTCCGGACTCGGACGCCATTTACCCCAAGGGTATTGGCGGCCCGGATCCCGGAAAAATACCGAGGGCAACACATACAGCCCTACAACGGGAAAACGGACCCCCAGGAACACTACA